GGCCGAGCGGCTGGCTCAAGGTCGGCGGAAGCCCCGCGCGCACTGCCGTTCCCTCGCTCCCCGGCCCTGCTCGTCCCGCGCCCGCCTCAGGCCCGGCCGCAGAGAGCTGGGCAGCCTGCTCGGCCCGCTCTCACCTCGGCAAGATCAGCTGCCTGGGCCGCGCCAGACCGCGTTCTCCCTGGAAGGTCACCGAGTGCGCAGGCGCCTCGTGGGGCCTGCCGGGAAAGCGGAAGGAGCGGAGCGACGAAGGTCGGCGCGGCTCGCAAGCCGCGCCTGCGCACTACAGCGCGCCCGCCGCCCGGGGGCTTCAGGCGGAGTCGAGACTGGAGGGCACTATCCCAATGAGCTTGGAGTGGGCGCTGTGCTTTGTAGTTCAGTGAGCGTAGACTCCATATTTTACCAGGACTAATGAGCTCTACGGACTTGGGACTTTTACTGCGGATACCAGGAAAGTGCTACACAAAAATGACAGGTTGTCAGCCTAAGAAAAGGACGTCTTTACTTGTTAGGGGCAGCGAAGTAGTAGTCACTCATCTCGGTGGCCTTTCCTACTGTTTCTTTTGTTTTCGTCTTTTTGAGACGGGCTCTCACTGGTCTTGAACTCACTATGTAGCCTAGCTTCGCCTCAAACTCGCAATGATCCTCCTGCCTCAGCCTCCCGAGTGCTGGGATTACAGGCGTGCGCCACCACGCCCGGTTACTGTTTCCTTTTGGATCATTACCTTTTTGCGCTGCATATCTTCTTGCGGCTCTTCTGTACATATTAATTTCTCTCAACAGACTATGTAAACCCTTCCGCAGGAGCCCCTGACGCTGGGCTTGTTCTTAAAAATAGCTGTGTTTACTATGGAGAAAGAGAGAGGGAGATCCAGTAGGTAGCTAATTGGTAAAAAAGAAAAAAAAAAATGCATAGGTTTAGCAGAAGATCAGAAACTGGGAGAATTAGAGGTGGAGTCAGGAGAGACAGCACAGACAGAAAACGCGAGGGACCCGACACACAGGAAGGCAGCCTGTGGCACATCCAGCTGTGTTTCTTTCTTTTTGTGCTGCAGAATGAACTGAGGCCTTCCACTGAGCAACACCCCCAGCCCCAGGTATAATTGGAGTCTAGAGGGAAGGGGACAAGAGTTTTCCGTGTCTTTTTAGAGACAGGTCTTACTATGCAATTCAGTCTTGGTCTGGAACCCACTATGTGGAAATAAACAAGAACTGGGGCAGAAATATTTGAAGAGATAATGACTGGCGGAGAATTTCTCAAAAGTGATTTTAAAAATCAAAGATTCAAAACCCCTTATGAAAACCAAGCAGGCAGATAAGTGAAAAATCAACACCTGAAACCTCATAATAAAACTATAGCAAATTAAGGACTAAGATAGGGGAAGGTGTAGCTCAGTGGGGCAGTACTTGCCTACCATGTGCAAGGCCTGAGATTCAATCCCCAGAACTGTAAAAAGAAAAAAATAGGAAGAGGGAATCTTAAATAACTTTATTTAAAATTCTATACTGAATTATACATTATACATGCTATACTGAGATACATTATACAGTATACATTCTATACAGAATTATATACATTATATAGTATACATTCTATACTGAATTAGCATTGAGTAAAGAAAGTGGAATACAGTTTTGGACAAGCTAGCAATGAGTAATAATCACCACCAGATTCAAGTATTTCAAGTTCAGGCAGGAGAAGGAGCTCAGATGGAAGGAAAGAATGAAAAGCAATGAACATGGTCCCAATTATTTAAAAACAATTTTTTTTTTCGTCTTTTTAAGAAAGGGTCTTGCTATGCATTTCAGGCTGGCCTTGAGCTCACTTTGCAGCCCAGGCTGGTCTCGAACTCCCAATGATCCTCCTACCTCAGCCTCCTGAGTGCTGGGATTACAGGCATACACCACCATGCCTGGCCCATGGTCCCAATCTAAAGCGGGGAAAGCTCAGAATCGAATTACAGTGCATGCAAAACTTGAAAAACCTGTTGTTTGAGGGTATTGGTTCTCCAAGTGTAGTTTTTGACAGAGACCACCATGCCCAGAGGGACAAAGAACAAACCCTTGGACCCTTACTTTGTTACTCATTAAAAGCTTAATTTATGTTTTTTTCTAAGACAATCAAAGGCTTAAATATCTTTTTTTTTTTTTCTTCCTAAAAACTGTGACTTTGCTTGGGTCTACAAATGCCCAAAAGGTAACTAAAAGTAGAACAAAGCGTGACCTTCATTTTGTGAAACTCTGGGGCAAATTCTTCTCAGTCCCATTGTGGTGGATTGACAACTGTTGGTCAACTTATAACACCCAGCTAAGCCGAGTAAGTGTGGTGCTGGGAGTGGGAGGCCCACCTGAGGACTGTTGCCAGCAGCGTAAGAGGCAGAGCTGTTGGGACCTGGTAGAAGCTGTAAGGAGCTGTTGGTTCTTTTGGAGGAGCTTGTCATTGCTGGCTTTCCTGATGAACTTGGCTGTTTTCATTCTCTGAGGGGCTTGGGAGCTTATTGGCACTGAAAATAGCTTTGGTTCATCTTGGGGGAGCTCTGGTCCTCACTGAGTATCACTTTCTGGCTCCAGAGGGGAAGATGGTGTACTACTCAGTCTCCTGGAGAACTTTGTTGCATTGGCTTTCCTGATGGGAACTCGGCTGTCCTGATCATTAGAGGAGGTCGGGACCTCACTGCTGCTGAGGACGGCTGTGGTACTTTTGGGGGAGCTCTGGTTCTTACTTTTGAGCATTGCTTCCTGACTCCAGTGCAGATCCTTCATCCCATTGGCACAGACTTTCTAGCCTCCACCACTGACCTTTGGGCCTTCCCAGCGCAGATCCATGAAACAGGCCTGCATGAGACATTGTCATGGGCTCTCGGCCTCCAGCTGGACTCATGGGAGGCACTGTTATGGGTGCTAGGTCTTCAGCTGAACTCCTGCAGGACATTATCATGGGATCCAGGCCCTCCACACTTACTCGGCTTAGCTGGGTGTTATAAGTTGACCAACAGTTGTCAATCCACCACAATGGGACTGAGAAGAATTTGCCCCAGAGTTTTACAAAATGAAGGTCACGCTTTGTTCTACTTTTAGTTACCTTTTGGGCATTTGTAGACCCAAGCAAAGTCACAGTTTTTAGGAAGAAAAAAAAAAAAAGATATTTAAGCCTTTGATTGTCTTAGAAAAAAACATAAATTAAGTTTATACTTGAATACTTGAATCCAGCTGGATTCTTTGGTCTTTAGTGTGTGGACAGATCTCCTGCACTCTCTTGTATGTGATTCTTTTGGAGGAGCTTGTCATTGCTGGCTTTCCTGATGAACTTGGCTGTTTTCATTCTCTGAGGAGCTCGGGACCTTGTATAAATAATCTTATAAAATGTGTCCTGTATTATATTGTTCCCCCTGCAAATATCCCCAAACCATAACACCCATATATAGGCATGTTAAGTCATGAGTCTGCTTAGAAGTAGGCAACACACTTTTATTAGCCCTAAATTTACCTAGCCTATCTCATGTCCCTTTGAGACACAGGATGTGAGAGAACTAATTTCCAAGATTCATAGGGACATATAATTGCCAGCTTTTACAACTTCCAGACCCATTCCCCCTACAGCAAGGCCCAAAAGTCTCCAGCCGTTGCCCTGAACTAGGAGTCACTGGGTCCCCGGAAAAGCACTCACTTCACTGAGGCTGCCATGAACAGAGACTATCAGGTTAATAGTATTCCTTATTATTGTGGGCTGATAAGGTCCACAATCTCCTGAACAAGTGTATGGTGAAAGCTAAATAAAAAGAGGTGAATGGAATGATTTCAGGGCTCCAGGAGAACCAACGCCCTCTCACAGAATTTGAGGTTCTCTCAGGGCTAAGACTAAGACCTCTGGGTAGCCCGTATTTATTTGGTTATCAGAAGAAGGTAGGGGAATACTCAAAAAGGGAAGAATCACTCAAAGACTTCTCCACGTAAGGTATTAAATTAATCTTTAATAAGGATTAAATTAATCCACCCAGGAGTGATATGCCTGAGGCTATAGTCTTTATCTACTTGAGATAAGATCCAGGTGTCCTTGGCTGTAACCTTGTCCTATCCTCCGAGGCTTTCTGGTATCATCCAACATTACATGTTTTAGTAGGGATTAGTGACTCATGGAGGTTCACTTACTCTGAGTCTGTCACCCACTTCCAGACAAGGAGTTTAGGCCTCGGACAGATTCACAAGTGAATACAAAAAGCCAATTGAGTAATTTAAGTCCTGGCTTTTTATTGATCTCTATCAAGAGACGTCACTTCATGGGGATGCAATCAGCTCACCTCCTGTGAAGACTGCTCTGGAGCTACAAACACCAGACTCCAGTCATAATGGACCAGACGTGGCCCACCATGGTAACCCCCAAAACTGGTCCTTCCTTTTGTGGGTGGGCCAGCCCAGAGCCCTACACCAGAGTATGAGTCTCTAGCTACTCAAGCAGCAGTACTTCCTCTATCTTCTCTTTTTCATTCCAATTAAAGCTTTAGCCTATGAATTTATACTGTCACTTTAGTTTTAATTTCTATTATTACTAAAGCAAGAGCTGGGCATGGTGGTGCACACCTGTAATCCCATTACTTAGGAGGCTGAGTTTGAGGCCAGTCTGGACTATACAGCGAGTTTAAGGCCAGCCTAAACTACTAGCCAGTGAGGGCTTGAAGGCATTCAAAACCCCTGGGGTCCAAACTGGTAAGATGTCATTTGTCTTTTTCACTAGGGTTCT